AAATTTGCTATTGTAAAAATTTTAAATTATTACTACAGGTTTCATGACTTTGAAAAAATTTAATGCTTCAAGAATTGGTTTTTATAACTGACACCTTATCACCGAAGCTCTCTACATACTCGTTTAACGACGGGTCTAACAGCTGGTATCTTTCAAAATCTTATCACTGTAAAGAGTTGATACATTTTGAAAATTGAAATTATATATATATATTATTTATGAAAAACAGGTTATATCATTCAAGTTATAAAGCCTCCTTTGCCCTTTTTAGGTTAAAAAAAATTTTAAGGCAGTCATCAGCGATAAAAATTGTGCTAATTGTGATATTAATTGTGTATGTGGTTCACCTTTTTAGGAAAATGCCCAGTACTGTAAATTTTTATATATGTGATTGATATATATTATACCTCTTCTTCAAGCCTTTAGCTTAGTTCTAGGTGTTATCGTCCTTTACTATTGCTTCGCCTGGATTATACCATTTTTGGCAATCATTGGCATCAAAACATTAAAAATCAAACGTATTTGAAATATTACACTTGGCTACAAATTGTCTTTTTTTCTTTTTTACAAGTCTGTTCTCTAAGCTTTTTTTCCATGACACTCCCTTCCTCTACTGATATTATTCCACTGCATCAGTATAACGGCTCGCCATGTCAATATGGGGAATGCACTGAATGTGGAGAAGTACGAAGGAGTTCCTGCTGGTGTATTACATGCGAGACTACCAATTTTATAAAAAATTTCGATAAATGGACTAGTGGAAATGCTTCTTTATTAGAAATACTCAATCTCACGCGACCGAGAGTATGGCATATTTCGAATGGATACCATATGAAAATTTTGTCCTTATTGAACAAATAGCGAGTGATTCTGCTCTAAAAAAAATAGGTAATTCTAGCGAAATAAGTAGTGCCTATTTAAATAATGTATGTTATTTGGATGAAGATTCCTTTCTGATTGATGATCCTCAGTAATACTATAACTTATGGTTTGAGTAATTACCTATCTAAAATCGATGAAATTTTTTTAGAATTAAAATAAAAAAAAAATTTTATCGAGTTACCCTTGTTCAATGTTTGTAAAAACTTAGCTTGGTCTTTGTTTTGATATCATCTAAATTTTACTTTAAATCAATAACTATATGTCAAAAAATTTCATCAATTTTAGACAGATATTTTCAAGTTATTCTTGTTCAAAATTTGTAAAATTTAGGTCTTCGTTTTGATAATCGTCCAAATCTCCTTGGACTTTGAGAATGACTCGCGATCATGTTACATTCCGCCAAATATTACCACACTAAATCACGTGTGGGTAAAATCTAACGATAGAAATCCTTGCCACTTATACCCTAATACTCGTGTGTTTACTTATGTGATGTTATGATTACTGGGCTATCTGTTCTTGAAATTATTCCTCCAAAACTAAAATATAGATTTATATGAAAAAAATAATACAAATGCAAAAGAAGAAAAAAGCACAAGTACCCCTGAAGAAAAATAAAATGTGGATCAAATATTGTATGGCTTTTAATATGAACAAAGGTAAGGATAAATAACTGATTTTTGCTAATCGACTATCATGGCAGTTTATAAAACTATGTGATTTGATTTTAGTTGAATACGAATTTGTTCACGATAATAACCTCGAGGTGGCTTTTCGACTGTATACTCCGCAGATTGGATTGACGAAAGCCAACCCGTTAATAAACGTGTGGCTCTGAAAGTAATAAACGGATCAGATAAAGCGTTTAGAAAAGAGGTAGGTTTTATATAAAAATACCGTATGTTTGAATGTTATACAATCAAATTGAAATTTTTATTTTTAAAGCTAAAGGCAAATTGTGAAATTGGTTGCGAAAGTTCATGCATAATACCTTGTTATGGATTTTCAAGATTTAATCGACAATACTGCCTGATTTTAAAATATGCTAAAAGTGGTACACTGTATGATAACCTTCATTTAATACTGTAACAAAAATGAACTGGAAAGAAAGATTCAATTTATTGAAATGCATCACTCAGGGTCTCGAGATAATACATTCTAAAGGATATGTACACTTTGATTTACATAGTAAGAATATTTTTTTAGATGGCTCTGATGCATATATTGGTGACTTTGGAAATTCAATTTTAACAAATGAAAGGATCGAAGAAATTTATGGTGTCCCATCTTATGTGGCTCCGGAAGTTTTAGAGAGCGAAAAATTTACAGAAGCTGCAGATATTTATAGCTTTGGTGTCATCATGGAAGAGCTGTCGACTGGACAAAGTCCTTTTGATAATCAAATTAATATATTGGATAGAAAACAACCAAAATTTACATAAGAAACTCCTGAATTTTATGTTAGATTGGCTAAATGGTGTATGAATTCAAATCCTCAAGAACACCCTACTGCTCAAGATATTTCTGAATATCTTGCTCATATAAATCGTCCTATTATGACGCCAACAGATGATATTACTGTATTATGAAAAATCAAGTAAAGAATCTCGGACTCGTTGAAAATTTTTGGGCATTTACCCTTCTTTACTTCCTCCTCTAATAATATTTTTTATTCCAATCTTCTAAACACAAGGTTGATGCTGGCATCAATTCCAATATTCGCTATGAGCTATGTAAATTGGCAAATGTAGAAAAATGAAAGCATTATTTATAATTTTTGCAAAATCTGAATGTAAAAGCTTAAGATGTGGTAATAAGGGAATTTAGATTTGAATTTTATGATATGAATAATCTGATTTTTGTATTTTATGATAAGGTTAGTGCTCCTAAAGAGTCATTCGGGTCGGGTTTGGGGTTGAACTCATATTTGTTCGAACAAACTCGGGTTTGAAAATCTCTACTTGTGTATTATTAAAATTTTCCGGTTATCCAGTAATTTATTATTATTATAGCTCAATTTCTACCACGAATTTATTTTAAACTTGCAATATAACGTTAATGCTAAGACTAGATTTCAATCTATATATTAATTTTATTTATACTGTACTTTTCATGCACATTATACTGATTACCCGCGGTTTAATCACTTGGGTCATGTGATAAATTTTTGGGGCTTATGTTCTGGGGTCGATTACCCGGGTTTTTGACAATTTTTCTCTAATGAAACAAAGAATTATAACGATATATCTGTATGTAGAAATCTCAGCGAAAATAGTAAAAAAAAATACAAATCACTTAAATTGAGGCAGAAAAAATCTTCATTATAGTTTATATCGAGAGAGTACAATATATACTTCATTATATCAAGTTGAAGTTTAATAATTCCATAATTCAAAATTCTTCACTATATCGAGAGTTCACTATAACGATAGTGATCTGTTTAAAAAACTGTCAAAAAACCCCAAAAGTAAATTCAAAGAATGATGGTTGAAATAAAAACAGCAAATTTTTAGTTATATATATATGTTAGACGTCGCTTTCGAATGACCGTCAATTAAAAATTGCGTACGTACGTGAATTTAAAGATTTATGCCGGCTAAAACGTAACGTACTGTACGTCGAAACTATTTTTTGAATATAAAAAGATTTTTTTTAAAAAAAAATCCAATGGATTATTCAAAATATGATATTGAGTTAATATTTTTAAATAATTAAACATCGGGAAAATTTTTTAGTATAGTCATTTGCAAAAAAATTAAATAATAAATCAAATGAAAATCTATGCAAAGCTTCAAATCTGATAGCAATTTCTGTATAAACTTTCAATTTTTAAACAATTTTTGTAATAAATCAACAAAAATACAGATTGTTACAGATTTACACTAATTTAATTTTCCCGATGAAGTTAGAGTAATCGAAAAATTGAATGTTCAATCAAATAAACATAGCTATGACACAAAACACTCAAAATTGTCCTATTGAAATTTTTTAAGAAAAACTTAACCCGAAGCATCTAATCAAAGAAATTGATTAAGATACAAGAAGTTAGTGATTCTGGCCGAGCATGATTTTTCAGCTATGACCAAGCCGATAGATTTTATTGGCTTAGTTGGCTTGGCCGAACCTACTGTACTATTTAATTTTGTTCTTTAATCGGAATTACAAAAATTTTTGATTCAACTTTACTCGTATTTAGGTTCATTCATTTTCTATATCGGAAATTTTCATAATATTGACCATACCATATCGATCAGCTGATTTTAAAAAAATCGACCGGCTAAAGCCGATAATTTTCTTTAGCCGATCTTTTTCACTATCGGCCAAAATCACTACAAGAAGTAATGGTTGCCACAAAAAAAAAAAAAAATCGTAGTTTGGTTGCGTTCACCGATGTGCTACACATTCTTTATATTCCCCAAATTTCCTGTATTAGTTTAGCGTTTATGCTAGGACCCCGATCTATTAGTATATAGGTTAGGGAATTAGATGCGTAGCCAATTTAATAACAAACAAAAATTGTATCAAAACATACATTGGTAACCTCTAACCATTTTACAAATTGGTCAAAATTACACAAGCTAATCTAACTTTATTTGACCATTTGCTAATTCTACTAATTCTAAAATCTAACGCCAACGTCTAAAAATTAGGGATGACATCCTGCTCAAAATGCTCGAAATTGCTTAATGATATTTGCTCATTATTTTAATGATTACCTTTTAATATGTGCCTAATTAAACTTTACCATTTTAAGAACGTATTCAATGATTTGGCTCGATTTGAATTAGATATTACCACTTTTAACAGGGATGTGAATAGACATAGTCTAATCAAAAAAATTATTGTCTAATCGTCTAATGGTCTATTGGAATTCTATTGGTCTAATGAGTCTAATGCCTACTGGTTTTAAACTAATTGTTTTTTATATATTAGCAAGATAATGATATCTAAAATTAATCAATCAGATTGGTTTAAATTTGTCTATTGTCTTATGACTTAATTAGACATATAATTTTATTAGTGTTCTCTAATTACAACCCTCTCTAAATACACACTCTAAAGCTGGTTCCAACAACATATATTTAGAAAGATCTGACTATAAATACTTAAATATTAAAATATAGCGATATAGTATATTGGTTAAAGTATAAAAGTGTATTGTAATTTTAGATAACAAATCAGAGTTCAAATTTTTCTAAATACAAAATATTCAAATTTTTTGGCTACTGATAATCTAGAAGAGTTGGTTTGCTTAGGTTTTAAATATCTCACAGACTCCCTTCTCTTGGTATATACTTCCAAAGTATATATACTGTATTTTTTCTTTCAGAACCTTAAACCAGTAGTTTAGTTAGTGTATTTCCCTACTTAATGATCTTGTCACTTGGTTCTTCAATTTTAGTTCTAACTTTCAAATTCAGTCTTTCTATGGTACTGTTAAAGGTTTTAGCTATTTTTTTACTCGGGTCTTCTTAAATAAGTTTTGACTATTCTGGTTTTTTGATATTGGTATATCAAAGCTCCTATTCAAGATAGTATGATCAAGATTACAAGTACTAAGCCCCAACTGATTATCAGATAATTATTATCGAATACAGACTATTTTTCAAAATTATTATCTTTGGAATTCAAACTCTAGACTTGCTGCTTAGAGGAGTAACAACTCTACTACTTCACTATATTACTATATCTAATTAAAATATATTTAAAAGATAGTTTATAGTTAAAAAATATAAATTTTATAATAAAAATAATATAGTTTTACTAGAATCTTGTATAATTTCTTATTTTTTTAAAAAAACTTTATAGTAAAAAATTAAAAAATATATATTTATTTAACTAATTTTAATAATTTTACTACTGATAAAATTAGAAAATTAGTTTTATAACTTTAGGAGTGTGCTATTTATTATGTGATATTTTTTACTTAATAGCCACTTCTATTTATATATAGTGTGATCACTTTATTTAATTTTGATTAATTAATATCATATATAGATGTAATTACTACTTCTGACTATATATTCATAGTAAAAATCATGTGATAAATAATATGCCTTTTATTAAAAGCTAAAGAAATATTTATATAATA